GAGCCCCGCAGGCTTCAGCAAAGCAGGCTTTTTGGAATTAAAAAGGGAAGCAGTCATACATCCTGCTGCTCCGTCTTCTTTCAGGAGCCCCAGGGGGGCTGAGGACACAGGCAAAAGTACTTCATCAGGCACCTTCTGTTTCTTCAGGCCAGTGGGGTAGGGAGCCTACTCAGAGTTGGAAGGAGTAGGAGAAAGTCTGTTTAGGCAGCGTCTGTGTCTCGATGGGTAGGGCGCCGGCCCCATATACTGACGGTGGTGAGTTCAAACCCAGCCCCAGCCAAACTGCAACAAAAAAATAGCCGGGCATTGTGGCGGGTGCCTGTAGTCCCCAGCTACTTGGAAGACTGAGGCAAGAGAATCACGTAAGCCCAAGAGCTGGAGGTTGCTATGAGCTGTGATGCCATGGCACTTTACCGAGGGCAACAAAGTGAGACTCTGTCTCAAAAAAAAAAAAAAGAGTCTGTCTAAATGTTGAAGCTCATTATTTCCCTTTAAAAAATTAATAGCCTAAAAAACTACAGACGCAGCCCATGTTTATTATAGAAACTTGAGACACGCACAAAAATATAAGGAAAATACAGACCACCTAGAGTCTCACCATCCAAAGATAATCACCTCTAACGTTCTATAATATTTCTTGCCAGTCTTTTATGCATTTTGTAGGGAAATTCAGATGGTAAAGAGAATGAAGTTTTTATGTTCTGGTAAACCTGCCATTAGGTATTTTTCCATGTTATAGAATATTCCTATTTTAAGATTTTTAGGAGTCCTGTAGTATTCCTCACCAGATTTATCATAGTACGGAGTCAGACATTTCAGTCATTCGCCCTGTTTTTGAACAGTTTTATGTACCTTCAGCCATTTTTATGCACGCGCTTTATTATTTTCTTGGGATACATTCTGAGAAGTAGCACTCAGGATCAAAAGTTGTAACTATCTTAAAGGTTTTGATTTTTACTGCTTTCAGTAAGGTCAGTCCAGCTTGTCCCAGCTGCTCCTCATGGGCAATGGTTTGGGACTTTACTGCCTGAGAGCTCCCTTCTCCCCAGGTGGCTTTGCTAGTCTGAGAATCATCCACTCTCCTTCTCCCCACTTGCTCTCAGGAGAAAGTGCTGCTTCTCTCACGCTCCCCGTTCAGCAGTCAAGTAGTCCTGAGCAGGGGGATGAAGGACACTGTCTTTACTGAGCGGAGGGCCTAGTTCTGCGACTATAAAGCAGGGGCAGCCCGCCGAGATGTGCGTTTTTAACAAGGAGGCTGGCATGCGTGGAAGTGATAAACAGCACAGAAACAGACTACCAGGGCAACCTTGAGCCAATCGCTTTTTAACCCTCAGTTTCCTTGTCTGTAAACTGGTGAAGACTAGTAGCACCCAGCTCCATGGATTGTGGTGTTTGGTACCTGGAGGGGCTGCCACCACCCCCTCAGTGGCCTGGACCACCTTTGAGAAACCGTGATCCTCAGGGATTCCGCCTTCCCCAATTCCAGAGTCCCATCACCCCCACCAGCCTAGGAGGTGGTGATTAGATGGCACCCTTGCTGGGATGGCCAAGACCAGTGCTGCCCTGCTTGGTCCTGGGTCCCTGCTTTCTTGGAATCTTATCCCACACTGCTGTGGGCACAGGTTCAGAGGAGGCTTTGGAGAGATTTTAAAAGTAGGATAAAGGAGGGCATCTGCTCAGGGAGCAGTTTCCTGGTGAAAAGGTTGCACGTATGAATTATGTTTTATAGGTTAATAAAAATGTATTTTCTTTTCTGAG